CAGCTTCCCAGGTTCAGCTCCACTCAGGAGCTTCTAAGAGCTGTTCTGCTTCTGGAACCTTTTGCTCTTTGACCAGACCCCAGCCCATCTTCTCTCCATTCTGTGCTCTGTGGCTTGAGCCTCCAGGGGTTGGCTAGGGAAGCCGTAGCCGCCTTCTGGTCACATGATACTTCTTTTCTTTTTAGAAAATGGGTCCAGGAAGCTGTTCTTTGGTGGTCAACACCTTCTTCCTTCAGCATGCGTGTTTCTACCATTCTAGGCAAAAAGGGCAGATGCAGAAACAGAATGGAGGGAAGGAAGTAGACGAGAGGCAGCTGTTCCATGGTACCAACACCAGCTTTGTGGATGCCATCTGCCAGCAGAACTTTGACTGGCGGGTCTGTGGTCTGCATGGCACATCCTATGGCAAAGGTAAGGCAGGGCTGGCTCCACCAGCAGCTGGGAAACGGCTTGAAGACAGCCTCACAGAGGCTGCAGGAGGAGCCGGCCAGTCCATGCTGCCAGTGACAAGTGCCGTGCCTCTGGCCGTGCTCGGTGGGGACAGCTCCACCGTTACGTGTGATCGAGAGCTCTGTCAGCTTATGGCAGGGCAGTCCTGCTCACTGGGCCTTGTTTCTGGTGGAGTGGAGGCTCTGGGAGGTAGTGAGAGTTGGAAGAGGAGAGCAACTACACCTTTCTAACCTTGCTGAGCACCCTAGGCCGTGCCTTAATGACATCCTTAGAATAGAAACCAGAGAGTGTCGTTCATCGAGCACATATGAATTCTCTAGGCATTTTTCTCTCTTAGTTATTTTAAAACATTATTTGGTAGTAATTTCAAACTCACAGCAAAGTTGCAAGCTGTGTGTTTATGTATTTATACACACATGTATGTATAGTGATTCTTGCATAAATTGTATCCACATTCCTCAATTTTAACATGTTGCCATGTTGGCTTCTTTCATCTTTTCATTTTCTGAACCATTTTTAAGTAACTGGCATCTGTGGTTCTCTTGCACCTTCCAATACTCATTACGAAGAAGGCAGGTGGATCTCTGTGAGTTTGAAGCCATCCTGATCTACATGAGTTCCAGGAGAGCCAGGGCTATGTAGAGAGACCGTATCTCAAGAAACAAACAAACAAAACCCAAAAGAATCTGTTTGTTTGATTTGAACTCCATGGACTACCTGATCATCAGTTTTAGTCTGATGTGACATTTGTGGGATTGACAAGCTGCTGATAGGTTTGTAAGCCCTGTGAGAGGGAGCAGCTTCTAGTTCAGGTTCCCATTTGAGAAGAATCATTGTTCTATAGGTTGGGCTACTGGTGTCTGTAGAATGGCTCAGTAGGAAGAATGTTGCTCCTTTTCCATGGTACCCACTGAGGCTGGGTGGGGCAGCCCTGTTCTATAGGTGCGAAACGGAAGTCCAGAACCAAGTATTGACTCTAGGTTTTCGCTGGATTCAGAGCTAAGATTAGTTAGGGACGTCCTCTCATGCCCGGCTACATAGAGAGGTGTTGATGACTTCCAGGAGTGGCGAAGAGGGTCGAGAACTGGAGTCGAAGGGGGTGTTGTGGTGTTGGAAGAGCAGAGACTGCTGGCATCAGTTCTAGGATGGGCCCTTCAGGGCCCTGTAGAGCCTGTGTGTGTCATTTCAGGGAGCTACTTTGCGAGAGACGCTGCCTATTCCCACCACTACAGCAAGTCCGACACGCATTCCCACACCATGTTCCTGGCCCGGGTGCTGGTGGGAGACTTCATCAGGGGCAATGCTGCTTTCGTCCGCCCTCCAGCCAAGGAGGGCCAGAGCAATACCTTCTATGACAGCTGCGTGAACAGCGTGTCCGACCCAACCATCTTTGTAGTTTTTGAGAAGCATCAAGTTTACCCCGAGTACCTCATCCAATATTCCACTTCCTCCAAGCCCCCGGCTACTACCCCCTCCATCTTTGTTACCCTGGGTTCCTTGTTCACCGGCCGGCAATGAGTGTGGCCAAGGTGCATTCGGCCTTTCTAATGGAGCTGTTTGGAAAGTCTTTTTTTAAACAAAACTTTTAATGAACTATTTAATGTGGCTTCTCAGTGAAGTTACAGTCCTTTTTTCTTTTTTTTTTTTTCTTTTCTCCCCTAGTGCTGGGGATGGGCCTTGTGCTTGCTAGGCAAACACTCTACCACTGAGCTACACCCCCAGCCCTTTTAAAATGTTTTTATTATGAGGCAGAGTTTTGCTAAATTACATTCTGCCTCAGTCTCCTGAGCAGCTGGGATTACAGGTCTATATTGCCAGGCCTGACTTGAAGCTACAATCTTAATCCTTGGCTGATAACAGTTTTAGTTTTTAGGTCCTTTCAGGTTGGCTTATGATCCCACCAGTAGTGATTGTGAGCCCAAGTTTGCCTTTTAGTAATATTAGCATTGTATTTTTAACTCTTTGATGACTTTGATGTTTATTAACTATAAGCACAGAATTTCTACATACTGTTTTATAGAATTTTTTAATTGTTAAGAGTGTATGTCTGTCGAACAGTTCTGTTGGAGGGTCCTGTGGTCCATTGTGCTTTTTTGTCAGAGTAGCATAGTGGCCTTTGGGGGAGACTACAGGGAAGGCCTCGGGCATCGCTGTCACTTCCGCCCACTGCTCTGGCACTAACCCAGGCAGTTCTTGGTATAAATTAAGTACATTCCCCCCTGCCCCCAACAGGAGACATAGACGAGTACCCCCGAGTCCTGGGCTTGTCTCCTAAGTGCCTGTACCCAAATCCCGTAAGCATACAGGACACCTCCCGGGTGTGGGTTTTCTGTCCCAGTGAGATTGACTAACCTGTGCTGCAAATGTCACATAAGAGTATGGAAATAAAAGACTATGAAACGATCAAGGCTGGAGTTCATTTTTCAGTGTGTTTACCAAGAATAGGGAGCAGGCCCTTCCCTGGGCGTTGGGATTATCTTAGTCTTGTAGGCTAATAAATCAAATTACTATAAGCTGAGTGGCTTTAATGAAAACTAAGCATTTATTGTTCAAGGTTCTGGAGACTAGAAAGTTCACAATCAAGGTGCCTGTAGATTCAGGGTCTGTTAAGGATCATTCCTCATAGCTGGCCATCTTACAATAACCTTGGAGGCAGAAGGATTTCTAACTCAGGCCCTTATAAGGATGTTAATCTCACTGATGAGGGCTTCATTCTCTGGACCTAACTACCTCCTGAAGAACCCACATCCCGAGACCATCACCAGTGGGTGCAGATTTAACATGGGTTTGTGGGGAGAAACATTCAGACCGTAGCAAGATGTAACAGTTAATATCACTGGCCTCTGTAGGGCTGAAGGTCTGGTTCCCTCACTTGCTACCTCCTCTTCCAAGGTTCTAGGAAGGGCCCTTGCAATATAGTCACGTGTTCACATGTATATTTATATTTTTCTTTCCTCCAATTGATAGAAAGGTTTTGTCCCACAAAACCTAGTTTCCCCATTGAACAACGTGTTCTCCACATGCATCTGTGTCTGAATACACTTGTGTGGTCCAAGCTGGCAGGGAGACTGACTCCATCTTAAAGAGGTGTGCAATTGGTATGTCCTGTGGTGATCAGATCTAAGGCAGTTTAACTAGATTTATCATCTTTGGAGTGACCTAACACCTTACACAGGGCATTGTTACTAATCAATCCAGAGAGAGCTGAGTTAAGTGGTCAGAAAGATAAGCCTTCGCTTTAGGGTCAGCCACATAGCTGCTGCAGACAATGTGCTTTTCATGAGTTTTCAATGTGGCTCTATCACATCCTGACTGATCCTGAAAGTTCACTGTGTTTTGCTTGAGTTCTTGGTCCTGCTGTGGTAGTGTAGAGGGTGGGGAGGGCATCTGTCTGGTCCTGTGAGTGTTGCAGAGGACACTGTTTGGACTGGCAGTGCTAGGGAGGGGCTTAGAGCCGCACGAGCAGTTGCCCGGTTGTGTGGGGCTGGGGAAGAAAGGCTGTTTATGATTATATTTTTTATTATCATATTTATTATATATTTATTATTTATAGACCTGCTGTGAGGTCTATAAATAAGGCCACTGTCTTCACAGACAGGACTGTTAGAATCACTGGAAGCCCATCCCTTCTAGCAGTGAGAACCCTCAATGTCCTTCCTAGCCCTGCTTACATCCTACTCTGTTCATGCCCAACACCAATAACCTTGGGCAGGAAACAGGATGTGCACACAATCTTCTGTTATATTCCACCTAGATCCTCATGGACCCTTCTAATCAGTTGCATCTACATGTTTTTTCCCTGAATCCTGTACCCTTTTGCGCCAGACATCATTCTAACACCTTTCATCAGATGGCCACCCCTCCTGTTCCAGTTTTGGACTGTTCCTTCAGCAGGGACATGAATTTTTTTTCCCCAATGCAGGGTTTCTCTGTATAGCTTTGGAGCCTGTCCTGGAACTCACTTTGTATCCCAGGCTGGCCTCAAACTCACAGAGATCTGTCTGCCTCTGCTTCCCAAGTGCTGGGATTAAAGGTGTGTGCCACCACCGCCCAGCTTACCTGCATGTTTAGCTGGGCCTCCTGCAGTGGCTGATAAGTGTCAGAAACTGGGAGAACTGTCAGGGAAGTAAGGGAGGTCCGCAGGTCTCCAGGAATGTTTGGTTTTCTCCAAATGAGTCTGAACCCCTGGACCAAGCATTAAGAGAGCCAACAGTGTGCCCTTTAAAGAAAAAGATCCTTTAACCTGTATTATTCTGTCTGTGGAAACTTCCAGTAAATTTCTTCTACCCTTATTTAGTCAAAACATAATGAGGCTTTGGAGCCACTTTGAGGCTGAGTGTCCATACATATTATTCTCTGAAACCTATTCATCACGAGAAGCTAAAAAAGCCCATGCTGGTGCCCTCAGGACCTGTTCACCCAAGTTTCCCTGTTTCCCCTGTATCGTTCTGAGGCCAGGACTGTTTTGACACCATACTCACGGTTTAATCAAAATGACCTTTCCCTTATTTAACCTCAATCCCAAGAAAGCCATGCTTTGAACCCCACTGTCAAAATGAAGCGTGACAAACATTTATTAAACGTCCAGGACCTGTGACATAAATAACATGCTCAAGTGCCAGGTACCCTTTTAATCACCCTAAGATAAAGATACCATCTCTGTATTTTTTTAAACATTTCTGTCTCCACACCAGACTTTTGTTGGAATCCCGGGGGGAGCCCTTCAAACAGGACTTGCAGATGTCATCATCACAAAGTGCTTTCTACTTGACTTCTCTGTCAACGTGACACAATCTTGATGTGGACTCCATTTTGGGGGCCTAGGGCAGATTTGGATTCTAGCTGAAGTGGAACCTAAAATAGAGTAAATTAAAATATTTGTCAGAACTTAGCCTGAAGCATGGCTTGTGAAAATCTTGCTGTGGGCTGAGAGACAAAACCTTGGGAGTCGGAAGGAGCCAGAGAGAGGGTCCCTGGCTTCTTTCTGTAGAAAAAGTCGAGCACTCCAAAGCCCTTCAGGATCAGTTACGATGACAGTTACTTGCCACTGTACTGAGGGTGATGCTAATAAGAGAATCTCATGGAGTCAGGCCAGCACTTACTGGAGCACAAGCGTGCAGTCACCCCCCCTCACACCGGGATGAGATGGAGGCTGTAGTTTCTAGCACATGCTTTGATTGAGAGACGGGGCATCCCTGGGAGGAGGGGGACCAGCCCTGGCTCACAGGCAGAGAAGCAGGGTGGGGCCCTCCCTGGAACACCAGACCCTCACCTCAGTCTTAGAGCTGGCTTCAAAGCGGAACTTGTGTAGGATCTGGAGGACTGTCAGCTTGACCACCAGCAGCCCCAGCCGCACTCCGAGGCAGCTCCTGGGGCCAGCTCCGAAGGGCAGGTATGTGAAGGGTCTCTGCTGAAGCCGAGCCTCTGCTGTGAACCTACGGGTCAGGTGGAGGTTACAGTCAGCCTGAGACACCTGCCCCATCGGAGGCAGTGCTTCTCAATCTTCCTAATGCTGCGACCCTTTAATACAGTCTTCCTGTTGTGATGAGCCCCCCCCCCATAAAATTATTTCATTGCTACTTCATAACTATAATTTTGCCACTGTTATGAATCGTAATATACATGTGTGATATGCAGGACACAGGTTGGAAACGACCGATCTGAATTCTCATTTCTGGCTAAGCGACCCCTTCATCTGAGGTCCCTTCCCTCAACCAGGGACAAGAAGATCCTGTGTCCAGGACTGTTCTCAAGGTTCTGGGTAGCTGGTGGCCTCTGACCGCCATGCTCTGGTCCCTCAGCACTGTCCTGCCCAATCCCAGAAGCTGCTCCATTCAGACAGACAACTGAGTGCACCCTCTCTCCTTGTCTAGGAAGTCATTATTATCCATGTATGTGTGAAGCCCAGAGATAATCCAAACTCCTAAGACTTGACAAGCACACCCCGACCCCAGCATGCCTCCCCTCCCCTCACATCAGACCACACAGCTTCTCTCATTTCCTCCTCAGTGAAGTTCCCAGGCACTTTGGCCACATCCCAGAAGCCCTCCCAGGGTCCGACCTGCTATCCCGTCGAAGACTGGAGGCTACCTCCCCACTGCCCTGGCTTTGCTGCCCAGAATGTGGGAAGCTTGAGTCCTTGGGCGCCTCAAGATTTGGACTGAAGGCAGAAGGACTGAGCTTGCCATCAGATCTCAGCCCTAGCTCTGTGGAGCTAGGTGACAGTCACCAACCTGTGATGACCAGCTTGCTTCTTACCACTTCTAGGCTTTCTTGTCATGCTGTGAGTCCCACAGCTGCTGTTTTTGGTTATGAATTTTTGTCGTGTTTGCAGGAGCTCCTGAGCTGTGGGATGTTAGTTAGTGGAGAGGTGCACTGGGTTCAGATGGAGTCAGTAAATGGAGAACCCCAGTGGCTCCTTTAGCGCCTCCCCTGGTGGGCCACAGGAGAAGGAAAGTGACTGATTCTGTCAAGAAGCAGCGTGTGAGGGCTGCCCAGGTGTTTTATACCATATACCCTAGAAATGAAATCGACAGCAGCCAGATTCATGTCCATGAAAGGAAGAGGACCCGGGTCTGTTGGATCTCATGAATTTAGGTTTGAAGGGCAGTTATGCTGATATGAGTGCACTAGATGGAAGTGATGTGTTTTGTTGCTTTCTCATGCACACACAAAATATAACCCTGCAAGGTGGAGAGATGGTTCAGTGGTTGAGATCATGTACCACTCTTGTAGAGGACTAGAGTTTGGTTCCCAGTATTTATGCTGGGCAGCTCATACCTACCTGTAGCTCCAGCTCCATGGGACCTGATGCAGTTCTGGCCTCCATAGATACACACACACACACACACACACACACACACACACACACACACACATACACACACACACACACACACACACACACACACACACACACACACACGACACATAATTAGAAATGAAATCTGAAAAAATAAAAACAAACCAACCCTGTCTCCTGTGTCCTGGCCTGGACAAACAGAAGATACTGACTCTTATGTGCATTATTGCTATCATGCTAGATCTTTGGATTAGCTTTCCTTTGGAAATGGTGCTTCACAGTCTGTCTGAATTGGTGTGATCTTTGTTTGGGGACAACTTTGCCTGTGACTCCTATCTGCTGTCTCTATAGCAAAATTTCCATCCCATACACTCACATCCCTCAGGGACACCTGTTTCTAGACAGAATCCACTCACCTTTCAGGTTCAAAGATCTCAGGGTATGGCCAGTGCTCTGGGTCGTAGTGTAGGGCACCCACAGCTATCTCCAGCACTGTACCTGCGGGGATGTGCTGTCCCAGCACCTCACAGTCCTGTGCTGCCTCCCGTGTGAATCTGTGGGAGATAGAGGCAGGAAAGCTTGCCAGTGTGCCAGTGGGTAGGGGCTTCAGGTGTTATGGGACCCAAGATGGAGTGAGACTAGAGACTGGACCCAACCCTCGTGCCAGGGTGAACCAGAGAGGAAACCAAGTTTTTGTCCCATAAACCCCTTCCAATCTCAAGGCCCTTGTGATGTGCATGGCCCTTGGAGATAATGCCTCATCCATGAGTGGAGCGCTGGGGAGCCCTCCATGTGTGTGGGGCTTGTGGAGGTGACTTCTAGGGGCTACATCAATCTAAAGGTCGTTCCTCAGCCATTGCCTCTTCGGTCTTCTTGATCACAGTCAAGCCTCCCCTAATACCCTCGTTTTCTCTTTCCCTTCATCTCCTCTCATTTGGTAGTGTAGCCCTGCTGTCTGGCTTCTGTCCTCTGCTCCCCATTCCATGGGTGGTTCTCATGTTAAGATCACGATTGGGTGGCCCATCCTGTGGACCTGCATCTTAGCCCCTATATGCCATTGACTAGTGATGGATCAGTCATTAATGGATAATCTTGGTCGTTAACTTGACTACATCCGGAATTAACTAAAACTCAAGCAGCTGGGCACACTTGTGAGGGACTTTTCTTGGTTGGATTATTTGAGATGGAGACCCACCCTGTATCTGGGTCACACCTCTTGGTGGCAGCCCACACAAAAGGACATGGGAGAAGGCAGTGTCTGCTTTTTGCCTGCTGGTCCTCACTCTCACTGGCAAGGCCATCTATCCTGTTGATGAACCATTCCTTCACTGGGGTTAGAACCTGTTCCCTCAGGGTTCCAGTACAGATCCATATCCTTAAGCTCTCTAGTTGTTCCGTTAGAGAACCCTGACTAATACAACTCTATCTCATGAACTAAAGCTGTGACAAGGAGGAGAGAGCAGATCAGAAACCAGGAAGCTGGCAAGACGAGGGCAGGCAGGCGAAGAACAAACGAACAAACCTTCCTTCTTCATTGTCCTTATCTAGGCTTCCAGCAAAGGTGTGGCCAGATTAAAGGTGTGCCTTCCAGCCTCAAGATCTGGATTAAAGGTGTGTGTCATCCCACCTCAAGATCCAGGTCCAAAGCCTGTGTCTTCCAGCCTCAAAATCTGGATCTCGAGTGTGCCCTCCCTCCATTTCTGGATTATAGTTCTTTCCAGATATAGTCAATTTGACATCTAAGAATAGCCATCATGATCCACCCCTTGTCAACTTGACACACAATCATGTATCCTTATGTCATTATTAATTTCCAAATGAAAAACAAGAACCAGGTCATAATGCCTAAATATAACCATCCCATGTACACTCAGAAGTGCATTATATATATTTAACCAGGTCATAATTACACCTAACATGATATAACTGTCCCTTGTACAACCACAAACATATCATAAATTTAGAATAGTGGCACTGTCCCTTGGGGGACATCCTTCTAGTATGATAACCGTTGATATTCTCTTAATTGATGTTACAACGTATAAGGAAGTAGCACGAAAACACAAATATCTGTACAAAAACATTAACAAAATACAACAGAAGCACTCATGTCAGTTATAATCCTTGTTTCTGCAGCTGGTCACGTGGCATTAGATGGTATTTAGAACTACCATCCTCTACTACCCATTCTTTTTTTTCCTCCACCCTCGGGAAGCACCTCAGCAGGCCTTGGCTCTTTTCCTGGAGGAGTGACCAAACCTTCATGAAGGGTCTGTGCCTTTGTCATCCTGCCTGGATTCGGCTGTTGTAGCTTCTCATTAGCTTTCATCACAGGACATAGTAGGACCAAGAGACACCCTAAAGGGTCTCCTGCACTCCAGACGTAATCCTTCTTACCTCCATTGTGGAGAGGCAATCCAATTTCCCATGGTAATCTGGATCTGTCACCCTCCCAACACTTATTCCTTTCTTCGCCTGTTGTTTTAAGGGCATTAGAAGCCCAAAGTGACGAAGGGAAGCTGAGCTTCCAGTTCCATGGCGTGTTTGTTGTGGCTACTGGCAGGAGCACTCCCCCATCTGGAACCAAAACTTCTAGGCCAGCAGAACTTAGGGTTGTGGGAACAGGAAGCCAAAACTTTCCCAGTTGGGTCACTAGGGGTGATAGTGAGTGGATTCCACCCTTGATTCCTGGACCCATGGATCCTGGCTATGGGAGAAAACATACCATATACTGGACGCTGATTCAAAGCATCTCCTGCCTTCTGGAGAACCCTTCCCCAGCCCTCCAGCCTGCTGCCACCTAATTGGTGCTGCAACTGTGTCTTCAAAAGGTCATTCTATCTATCAGGCCAGCTGCTTCAGAATGGTGGGGAACATGGTAAGACCAGTGGATTCCATGATTGTGGGTCCACTGTCACACTTCTCTGGCTGTGAAGTGAGTTCCCTGGTCAGAAGCAATGCTGTGTGGAATACTATGTCAGTGGATCAGGCATTCTGTAAGTCCATGGATTTTGGCAGAAGCATTGTGTGCAGAAAAGGCAAATCCATAACCAGAATAAGTATCTACTCGAGTAAGGACAAAGCGTTGTCCTTTCCATGGAGGAAGTGGTCCATTGTAGTCACCCTGCCACCAGGTTGCTGGCTGGTCACCCCGAGGAATGGTGCCATATGTGGGGCTCAGTGTTGGTCTCTGCTGTTGGTGGATCTGGCATTCATCAGCAGCTGTAGCCAGGTCAGCCTTGGTGAGTGAAGTCCATATTGTTGAACCCATGCATAACCTCCATCTCTGCCACCATGGCCACTTTGTTCATGGGCCCATTGGGTGATGGCCAGGGAAAGCAGCTGACTGTCCACAGAACAGGTCATCTTATCTATTTGATTAGTGAGCTCCTTCTCAGCTGAAGTCACCTTTTGATGAGCATTTACATGAGACATAAGAATCTTCACATCCTTTGCCCGTTTGGAGAGATCTATCCATATACTTCTTCCCCAGATGTTTTTCTCACCAATTTTCCAATTATGCCCTTTCCAAGTCCCTGACCATCCAGCCAATCCATTGGCTATAGCCCATGAATCAGTGAACAATCACACATCTGGCCATTTCTCCTTCCAAACAAACTGTAATACCATGTGTACTGCCCAAAGTTCTGCCCACTGTGAAGATTTCCCTTTGCCGGTATCTTTCAGGGTTGTCTGAGAAAGGGGTTTTAATGCTGCAGCTGTCCACTTCTGGGTGGTTCTGGGATAATGTACAGAACCATCAGTAAACCAGGCCCTAGACTTCTCTTCCTCAGTCAACTGATCATAGAGAACACTCTATGAGGCTATGGGTGCATGCTTGGCAGCAGACGGCATTGTAACAGGAATGGAAACCGTAGGCATTTGGGCAACTTCTTCATGTAATTTGCTTGTGCCTTCAGGACCTGCTCAGGCCTGATCTCGTATTTACCACTTCCATTTGATAATAGATTGGCGCTGTGCACATCCCACTTTATGACTAATTCACTATTTTCTTTGGCAGAGGCAACTCTAAAGCCTTTCAGCCTTTCCAACCACAACAGCCCTCACTCCACAGGTCAGGGGACCAGTGTGAGAATTCTGCCAACTTCTGAGCATATCTATCTCAATTACGCATTCTGGAACTGGGGAAGTACCCACAGGATGAGTTTGGGGACCTACTGGACCTACTGTGAGTTGGACATCAGCCAAAACTCCATTAATCACCTGGCTTCCATGAGCCCTACTGGAGGGCCACACTGTTTCGTGGGATCTCCTGGAATCGGTGTTAATTGAGAACCGGTATCCCACAGACCCTGGAGAGTGTGATTGTCTCCTTCCCCCCAATGTACAACTGCCTCTGTAAAAGGCCTCAGGTCCCTCTGGGGAAGAACTGGAGAAAGAATAACTGTACAACTTTTAGGTGTCTTATCAGGATCCTTCCTCAGGGGAACCTGGCCACCCTGTCATTCCAGGGGTTCTGGGTCTGCAGACTGGCTCAAATCTGGAAATTGATTCACTGGCCAAGACTTACTTTTGCCATGATCGAATGCAGCCTTTCTTTCATTTGTTTGAGAATTTTTCTGCTTTTACAGATCAAACAGAAATGCAGTTGGCTTCCTATCTGTTTTATGCGTGGAAACACCATGATTGATAAGCCAGTACCAGAGGTTCAAGGTCTAGAGGCAACTATTGGTGGGCCTTGAGGGACATCAGCATTGTCTTACATGGCATTTCCTTCAGAAAAAGTCACTGCTGGTTTAGCAGACACTGAAGGGTTAATTTCCTCAGTAGAAGATGAAAAGGGGCGGGGCTGAGGGTACTACTTCCTCAGGTGAGATAAACCCTTGGGCGAGTGATGAGTGATCCGTCTCAGCTGCTCAAATGCTGTCTAGGGTTATAGGTATTCACCACCATGTCTGGCCATGACATGGATTTTTGATTGGGTTTAGATCTAGGAAATGATTTTTTCCCCCTTTTTAAAATTTTGAGATAAGGTCTCATTATGTTGTCCTAGCCAGCCCAGAACTCACAGAGATCTATCTTCTGAGTGCTGGGATTGAAGGCATGCACCACCACACCCAGCCTGAAATGATGTAGTTTTGGCCAATTTATATAATTTCCTCCTTCTGGGGAGATATAGTTGTTCAGCTCAGCCAGTTCCCTCTTTCCCAGGAATCTCAGCAACAATGGGAAGACCTGACCCCCATTATCAGTCATTCCTGGGCCTTGGAGATGGGCCTTGAAGTAGCCTGGTTCTGTTTTACTACTGAATGCTTAGTTTTGAGTTTCATTTTGAATTTACACTTCGCACTACATACCAGCTGCCTGCCAAGTCCCCTGGGAGGAAAGCTGGATGTAAATCATGAAGAAGAAAAAAGGATTGGACATCAGGTTACTTGTGGCTTCTAAGAAAGCCACAGCAGGGCGGTAGACTTGGGTCTTTCTACCAGCATCAGAAGAGCAACAAGGAAGCCTTTGAATTAATGAGCTGATCTGTGTCCAGAGACCCTCAATTCACACTACAGCAACTTGGAATATTTGCTCCTGGGCCAGCGCATTTTGGATTATATCTGTACACATAATCTGTCGTGTTTGTGGTTTGAAACATTCCTTTGAGCTACCCTCAGATCACATTTTCTCTTGAAAATGACTAAAGGTATCTCCATATGGTCTCCGTGGTATTTGAAGAAGTGCGGAGTGAAGTTTATGAGATACGATTAAATGCTTCATGCTACTTCTGTGAAGTCTGCTTGCTATTTCATTACCTTCAAGGGACCCTGGGTAAGATGCCTTTCCCCATGGGGCACTCGGTTTGGGGGAGTTTGAAAGAAGCAGACCTGGTTCCTAATCTGATTTGCAGGTTGGTGTGATGTTGCAAGTACTGAAATGTGTCCAAGAATGTAATATGAAGGACATGTAATATGAACGTAACATAAAGTGCTGGGTGGAGAGGCGGAAGCCCTCGCTGCCGCAGAAACGGCTCAGCAGCTAAGAGCACTTACTGGTCTCACTGGGTTCAGTTCCCAGCACCCATATCAGGTGGCTCACAACCTCCTGCAACTCCAGTTCCAGAGGATCTGATGCCCTCTGACCTCTGCTGGCACCTGCAAGCAAGTGGTGCACATAAACCCGTGAAGGCACACACATGCACACACACAAATAAGTAAATCTTTGAAAAAGGAAATTCTTGCCATGAAGTCTTGTGTAAGAGCTCCAGCAGAGGCTGCTGGACACCAAGGAAGGAACATTCCAGCCCTAGATGGTCCTCTGCTGAATGTCACCTCCAAGGGCAGGGACTTTAGCCTGTTTTGTGCATGGGCTAATTTTCTAGTACTTAGCGCGGAATATATAGGTGGTGAGTGAATGATGGATGGATGGATCAATGGGCAGGGGTGATGGCAGAGTCCACCAAAGGCTAAGAGGTCAAAGAGACGGGGCTGGGCTAAGGAGGAAGGCTGTGGCAGGAAAGGCTAGTAATGTTTGGTAAAGATAGTTAACCTACAGGAGAATGAGCCAGACTTTTCAGGCCTTGTGCCTGGTGCTCCAGGGGATACAAAGAAACCCAGGAACCCTTCAGGACATGTGCGATGATAGGCTGCAACAGACTGAGGATCAGTAAAGGCCCCAAACAGTGATGTTCAAGGGGCCGTGGACATACCTGAAAGCTGGTGGGTACATCCTCAGGGTCTCTGCAATCACCATGTCCAGATAGGGCAGGCCTTCCTGCAGGCTGCAGTACCCAGGGGCTGGCTGAGGCAGGGAACAAAGGGAGGTGGGGTTAGACGGACTCTCACAGCTCTTGGTCTTTTTCATGGGCCCTTGCTCCAACTTCAGCAAACATTTCTGTGAAAGTCCCACAAGATGAAAAGTAGATCCCATCCAGGTGGCCTTTCAGTAGTCCCCGGCATTCTCTGCTTGCTTCATATCATTATCAAAGACCAGGAAGTGCAGTCTGGGACTTGGGGATCTTTGGGTGTAATGTGGAGAGATCTGGTGTGATGGTTGGTGTTGTCTACCTGACAGAAGGGAGAGTCACCTGGGAGAGGGGTTTGCAGTGTATAATCTTGACAGGGTTGATTGAGGGGAGAAGACCCACCCACCGTGGGTGACCCCATTCCCTAGGCAGGAGATTCTGGGGAAAGTGAGCTCAGCACTGCCGTGCATGCATTCATCGCTCTCTTCTGACTGTGAACCTGTGACCCAGCTGCTTTAAGCTCCTGATGCCTTGACTTCTTCACCATGATGGGCTGTGACCTGAAACTGTAAGCTAAAACAAACCATTTTCCCCTTACGTCTTGTCAGTATTTTTATCACAGCAACAGGAAAAGCAACACGGGCAGACTACTCTAAGACTACAGTGACAGTCCCATTTATCGGGAGACGATGGCATGGCTAAGTATGGCAAGCCCCGGCACTTGTTTAATCCTCCCAGCAAGCCAAGGTGGCAGCTATTTCCTTCTAAATGAGGAAGCCGAGGCTCGGAGTGGCTGTCACCTGCATAGTAATTGGTACGGCAATAAAGCTAAAAGACACAGAGAAGTAGCAAAGAATAAATGCTTGCAACAGTTAGTGAGGATGAACAGTTAACAAAACCCCCCAAAGCTATTACATACCAGCAAGAAGAGACAGCTCAGAGGGAAAGCTGTCAAAGGGCATGAAAAGGCAAAACCCAAGAGAAGGAATAGAAGTCATGATGAAGAAAAAAAAAATGTGCAATAGTAATATTCTCCCACATCAGACTAGACGTTGGAAAAGACGGAGTAATTTTGGGAGCTCAGTTGCCAGGGTTCCTGACATCTCCTGGTGACTCTGGAGGGGTGAGGCAGATTGGTGTGTGTAGTCAGCAGGTTGTGGGTACCCCCCATGGGTGGGCCAGGACTAACCCAGGCACTCCCAGCCTGCCGCTGCACACCCTGTGCTGTTACTGTCTGTCACTGAAATGCTCCCACAGGCTCATGTTTGGAATGCTTGTTTCTCCAGATGGTGACATTCTTTAGAGAGGTCAAGAGCCTTCAAGAGGCGGGGCCTAGCTGCTTAAGTAGGTAACTAGAGGCAGGCCTGGAAGGTTAAAACCCGGGTCCTGGTCTGTTTCCTGGTCCTAACCAGGAGCAAGCCAACACAGCTCCACCACCCTGCTGTGTCTTCACCGCCGCGACAGACCGAACTCTCCGGAACAGTGAGTCACAGTAATCCTTTCCTCACTTGTTTCCGTCTGGGATCTTGTCATAGCAACAAGAAAAGCCCTACAGCAGGTAACAGCCTTGCAGCTTCCAGTGAGTTAATGACAGCCATCCCAGCAGAACCCCTAATCTGGGGAAGGACTTTCTTCTGTGCCCCCCTCCTCTGCAGAGCATGAGGCAGCCCTGCAGCTGTCACTCTCCAGAGACCAGCCCCAGGTGACTCCACTCTACCTGCAGGAAAGAGGCTCACAGCCAGGAGTGACCACAAGGCCACACTGGTAGGTGGGCTGCCACGCGTGCCCCGATGAGCATCCTGGGGCCACAGCGTTGTCACCTGGGAGGTGGCTATAAATGCAGAAAAACTAGTGGTGGGAGAGGAGGCAGAGGCGGGACACTCGGAGTCCTGAAGTCCATAATCAATGCTTTAGCTAATCTGTGATGGTTCAGCCACTAAATTAAACACGGCTGCTAATGATGGGTCCTCATGAGTCAGGTTGCAGTAAATGTATGTGGTTGAATCCCCTGTCTGTGAGTGTTCATGTGTTTGGAAGGCAAGGGAGATACTTGCACTTTGTAATATAACATGTCAGCTACTGCTTGGTTTTCCCAGCCCTTTCCCACCTCCGCTCAGGGAACTGTTTCTATCTGAGGCTCTTACTTGGCTTCACACTTCCACCTCCATCCTAGACCCTGTGAGTGTGGCTGCACTCAGGGATTATTGTCTTGAGACTGCTAACAACTTCACTCTTAGACTTGTGCTGTGGGGTAGAGTTGGAAAGAACTGGGGTGCATATTCTGGGGCTCGGATGGTCACTCCCTGTCCCCTGGCTGCCTTCCCTGGATGAGTTCTCAGCTGCTGTCTCTGTCTTGCCTCCTGGACAGACATGGAGAGGGCTCACATATGCTGCAGCATCTTGGGGTGACCATGGTGGCCATCTTAGCTTCAAGCTGGAAGAGCATGGACTATGTATGTGGTGGGACTGGCCGAAGGGCACAGAGAGTCCCCTGGAAGTAGCAGTTGCTGGGGGGACTATGGGAAGGGGGGACACCTGGACCAACTTCCCTGACTCTCATCCCTGCCCCACCTCTCGGCCAGCTTGGGACTAGGGTTCAGGATACCTGAGAAGGTCTGGACTCCCTCAGCGCAGCCTAGGTCTGAGGAGCTGGGGGGTTCTGGGAACAATTTCTCTTCTGCTTTCCATCGTCAGGAGTTTGCTTTGTGTTTGTGTCCTCTGGCCACTGAGTTCACACAACATGAATTGTGCCACTTCAGTGGGTCTGCGGTGTGACTTCAGTAACTGGCTTTGCATGCATGCAGACAGGTGGAAAAATCAAGTAAGTAATTGAGAATTTAGACTTTTTTCTTTCCTAGCGATAACACTGAGTAGAAATGAAACAGCACCCTGACAGATCCAACAAGAGAACGTGGAGGAAAGGAGGAAGGCTACCCAGGCCTGGTTGGCACTTCCTCTTCTCTTCTGAGTATAGAGTCCCAGGTTTGCGTCTTGCTTTAGGCCTCACAAATTGTGTAGTGGGCTCTGCAGGATGTGTTAGTTGGTCCAAGGGGACCAGTATAGAAATCTGAATTGGGGCAAAGAAGAAGGAGCCAGAGGTTGAGTGAGGATAAGTCAAGAGCTGTTGGTGGCCACCTCTGCCTCATGGATCAGTGAGCACAAAGCACCAGTTGGTGCTAAGAAAGAAACCAAGTAGATATAAAGAGAGAAGCAGGGGGCAAAGGACAGAGATCATTTCCTGTCTCGTAGAGCACCAGTTCCTGTCTGCTGTCTGTCCCAGGCAAGTTCTCATCTGTGGACAAAGTCAGCGGTATTTTGAGTCCTGATATCTGGAACCACAGGAGTTCTAACAAATGTGAAAATATGAAAGGAAGAGAGGAAAGAAAGGGAGGGAGGGGAGGAGGGAGGGGCATGGTGACTGCACCACACACAGTATAGTGTGTGTGTGTGTGTGTGTGTGTGTGTGTGTGTGTGTGTGTGTGTGTGTGTGAGAGAGAGAGAGAGAGAGAGAGAGAGAGAGAGAGAGAGAGAGAGATAGATCTAGGAGCCGTGTCTCTGATGGGTGAATGGTGCTGGCTCCCCACTAAACTTGCGTGGATCATAAACTGTCAGGACTTGTCAAAGAAGGAGAAGCCCACTAGGCAGGCTGAGTGGCACCTTCATTATAAAGCCCATGATGTCTTCGTTTGTTCTTCCCCTGCCCTGGCTTCCCACTGCCCCTCAGCTTTGACTCAAGCACCTATGAACATCACCTGGGCCCAGTCTTCTCAGTCTATGTGGGGATTTGATGGCCTGTGGTGGGGTCTTCCAGAGCTTTCCTGGAACCTCAGGTGCCCACCACACAGGAAGAGTAGGCAAACGAGGCAAAGAGAAACACGCCCTTCATGTAACGTAGATCCAGGCCAGGCAACCAAGTTGCAAGCTCTGTCGTCTCACAGAGCCGTGGACTCATCCCTGTTTGTTCCCAGCCTCCCAGGGACACCAAGGTCCTGAGCTGAGCTTGCCAGCAGAGGGCAGCAAGTGTATGGTGAATGGGGGACTCCCTGGTTCCTGTAGGGACTTTAGAAATCATTGCCTCTGACTGCTTCATGATACAGAGAAAAAAAAAGGAGAGAAAGTCTGTCAGCCAGAGTCTTGCTGAGAGGTGTTCTGAGCACCCCTTTACCCACCACTCCCACAGCGAACACCTCAGGCTTGGGAAACCATCCTGTCCTTCACCCAGGTTGTAAGCCCTGGGCCAGGCACAGGAGATACGTTTACACACAGCAGCAGCCCATCACCTTCCAAGTGCTCTCAGTCAGCTAGGGCTGGACAGAGGAGAACAGAGGAGGCACACTCATACCTGACAGCTGCCGCCGGGAGGGAGCCATGTTCACACTGACCTTCGTTAAAAAAAAAAAAAAAAGGCATGTGGATGGTGCTTCAAACCTGTATGAACAACGATTATGGCTCAAACCAGGGACTTTGAACCCAATGGTAGAGTGGTTATTTTTAAAGAATCATGGTTCGTTTGCTTTTGGTGTGATGATGACATCATGGCCACGTTTTAGGAATATAATACACTGGCCATGTGAGAGAAATACACTAAAATATTTGCAGATTACATGGGAAGGAAATTTGGGACTTAATCTTCAGGCCGGGCGGTGGTGGTGAACACCTTTAATCCCAGCATTCAGGAGGCAGAGGCAGGTGGATCTCTGTGAGTTCAAGGCCAGCCTGGGCTACAGAGAAGAGTTCCAGGAAAGCCAGGGCTGTTACATCGAGAAACCCTATCTCAGGGGGGGAAAAAAATCTTGCAAGTGGAGGAAAGTTGGGTAAATAATGATCTAGATTGGCCGTGAAATAGTACTTGTTGACGTGGGTAACAGGTTCACAGGTGTCCCTTAAACAGCCTTGTGATTTATTTATTTATCTATTTTCAGAGATTTGATTTTTTTTTTTTTTTTTTTTTTTTTTTTTTTGGAGACAAGGTTTCTTTGTGTAGCCTTGGCTGTCCTGGAACTGGCTCTGTAGACTAGGCTGGCCTCAAACTCACAGAGATCCACTGCTCCTTCAG